CTGACAGGCGCCTTTTTTCATAGTGAAAAAGGTATGTTTATAGCTAAGAGTGAATAGGGTGTGCATTTTCTTTTATGGCTTTTCTTAGTTATCGTTTACACACATATCCCAAGACATGCTGGAACATATTCAGAAAAGGGCATGTTAGGATTTACCAAACATTGTTTAAACCTAAATCATTCCCTTGATTAGGGAATACTCAAATGTATCTTTGGTTAGAGATTCCTCGTTTTACATTTCAAAATGAGGGCTGAAAGATTTAGAGGATTTATTTTTGAAGTTCGGATTTTTGGTGTCAAGACAAATTATTTTCCAAAAACGTGAACCAGACTTGAATGACTTGAGCAAATTGCTAAACTGACCCTGCACCGTCACGGCACGTTTCTTTTTCGTATTTAACAGTGGAAAGTTTCTGCCGATAAAATCAGCTGTGGGTTGCTGACTATTGGGATTCATTGGAGATTACTTGTGAACCAAAGACAATCTTAAGTGAATCTTCTCATTATTGACTTGTTCTTCTTCTTTCTTTCTTTAAAAGTTGTCGGAGAATATTATTCACTCTTGAATTTCATAATTTCAGTGTGTTGTTATTCATAAGAATTCTTCATATGACTCCTACCTTTTTAAAGAGGAAGTCAGCGATCCTGGAGGAAGATTGCTGATATTTAAACTCGACACCAAAAACAAATACCCATCTCCAGATTTACTGTCCATCTCACTCCCACTGTCATTGTTATCCATCCATGGCCTTTTCTCTGTCCTGTGCACCAACGCCCCCTGTTGCTGATTGGCTGGAATAGTTTTGTGTGGCAGTGGGCCTAGCCACTTTGTTTGTTTCTCATGTACAGAGCCAGGGCTGTTTATGAACACCAGCACACAGACAGCCTGCAGACAGTGAGGAGATATTTGCTGATTTTGATCAAAAAGTCTATTTCATTAGAAATGCTGACTCCACCTTTTTAAAGCCAGCAAGTGTCTTGCTCTGGGTCTTGATCCAGAGTTAGATTCAAGTGGCTAGGCTTGTGTGTCTGTGGCGCCTTAACCAATGAAATGCATGTCCTGTGTTTTTAGTTGTGTCTTCTGTGCCTGTCAGTTTCAACATTAGATAGTTAAGGCATTTTATTTGTGACTTCACATTTAAATCAATCAAAGTATCTGCTTGTGTGTCTACTTGCAGTACAAGGATGACATTTTCAGGTCAATATGTTTCTGTTTTTTCGAGTGCTAAATGTCTTAAGCTATATACTAAATTGTTTTTTATACAGAACACTGGTCAATGAAGGATAACTGCGTCTTCAGTTTCTGTTGTTGCTTATTTGGTGACTGACTGCACTATTTGTTCCCATCCTTTAAATGTTGGTGCTGAAAAAGTGTATTAATGACACATTTGTTGCTTTGATTTCCCTTTGAATGCCTCAGTCACAAGATGTGCAAAGGTAATGCGGCTTACACTTGGTTTGCACAACTAGCACAAATTCATTTTGAAGGTACAGCTGAAAGGGTACTTGCACCTTACGCAAAGACCTCTGTCTCGCCATGCTGATGTAAACATGTTGTGACATTGTCAAAATAATAACTTATCACATGTTAAGCTTTACAAATATGTACACTGATAAGCCTCTAGTCAGTTAACAGTCTGAAGTCCAGTAGAGTATGAAGAGTGTAGGATATGCCTTGTTTTCGGACTCGGTCATACTGATGATGACACAATGAGGGGTGCATGATATGGATTCTTTCCGCTAATTTAACTGATAATTACTTGCTGCTCATGGCCATTACTGATTATACATAACAATTGATTTCCTGAATTATAACCTGTATTTAGTGCAGACCTAGGGGTAGGAAAGCTTCTTCTTCTGGGTTTATCGACGGTAACAACTTTGAAAGTACACATCAGAGAGTGATGCTACAGTTGTTAAGTTCATGACAGCGATGTTGCTTTGAATTATTAGATGATCATGTATTGGTTATAAATATTGTTTTAAAAAAAACATGTAATGATATATATGTCCCATCATTCAGCAGAAATGTATTGACTTAAATGTTATCGGAATAAGATTTACCAATACAAATGTCCTATTTATGACAACCAAATGTATTGTATTCCTAGACACAACATTGCATCTTTTCACATACAGGGTGAACAATCAGCTCAAAGGTCAAGTGTAAAGCGGAGGTTTATATTGCAAAACTTAACATGGCTGTTGCTGTCTGGATGTACAAAACAGAACCAAAGTCTAACTCAAAGGACACAATTGCAAAGTACTGCCAGATCAACAACACAGTGACCTGCTAGCTGATTGTGATCGATTGTAATGTTGACCTCTCTTTTATCTTCTGTCACATTGTGTTCAATGCTGTTTTGGGGCTTTTTCTTGTTCACACAACAGTGTGTGTTGTAGATTGTTCATTTTGACCGTATCCTGATTTCAGACAATACTCTCGATTCCTTCACTCTTGCCGGTGAGTATCGGACACCCAGCTCCTTGGAATTTAATTTGTTAATCCTGTTTCTAGTAATGAGCATTTGAAGTCATATTTATCGTTTTGTTGAACGCTACGCAGGGGTAGACATTAAATCACTGGCCCCACCATTGTAACCACTGGCCCGGAGCATTCGTCAAAAAAAAAAAAATAGACTAATAATGAAGAAAATGAACACATTTGTTGCAATAGTAATTCATGCACTAACTACATTACTACTTGTACTACAACATTTGAATAATCAGTTCTTCCTCATGTTCCTCAATTGTTCATATTTGGTTTATTAAAATAATGATATTGTGGTCATTGTTAAAAATGTCTGCTATAATTATGAGTATTATTATTTGTATAATGCGCTTTCTGCCTTCCTGTCATTAGGAGTTAGAAATGTAATGGCTATGTAGTAGGTTAGATTAGAACCTTCATTATCCTAAACTGCTGGGACATTTCCCTATGCCAATACCTTTATATTTTCTACTCTTCACTTACTTGTCAGCATAGGTCGGCATTGATGTACAGAGCCGACAGAAGACGTTGTTTATATTGGCATCATATTGAGAGGTGCAGTGACGCGTCCTAAAACCAGGAAGTAAGCTGCTGGTTCCCTCGACAAAAAAGCAGCGGGATTTCTCCACATTGTTTTGGAAAATAGCTGGAAATAAGGTCTGTGGAAAACAAACCTGTTTGATAAATGCACGTTTTGTTCAGCCGGATAATCTCCACATGTCTACCCTACTTTTATAATTTTCGAATCATAAATCTAATCGATAGATTATAAAAGGGTTTTAGGACGCGTCACTGCACTTCTTCTTCTCATATTCCCTGTCACTCTCCTTTAACTCCTCCGGTGACTTTCTTTTATTTGAAGATTGTTTTTTGCCCGGCGCTTGGCCGGTTACCGCTGGTATTAAAAACATTTAGGTGAATAGTTAGGTGGCGCGATAGTCTGTAGTGAAGGAGCGCGCTCCCGCTCACGGGAGCCTGCTCGCGCTGCGCTCCGCAGCAAACAGCTGTTTGCTTTTCACCCAAAACGACAACCGACTCACGAAACGCTATGTTGTAACGTTAATAAACGAAACAATTTAACAAAATTGCTTGTCAAAATACCAATACCACAGGACCATTTTTTTTTTTAAAGCAATATTTTTAGTGGCCCGAGCGGGCAAGTGGAAAGTACGTTATACTGGCCCGGGGTGTCTAAATAGTGCTTCCGAGCCAGCGGGCCATTTATAATGTCGAGCCCTGCCTCACGGAACGTCCCATGTGTATGACAGAAGCTACAATCTCCCAATAAGCTCAAAGACATCGATCTGTGCCGTCAGAGAAGTCCACAGAAGTCTTGCTCTGAAATAATAGGTTTTCACTAGGACAAAGAAAATGTCTAAAGAGCAGCATCTTCACATCGTTTATACCCACTTTCTTTTCTTGCTCCTTCCTCAATGTCCACCAAGCAACTCTGCCATCATTATGGGCAGTTGGTGACCTCAGCAACACAGATTACACAGAGGGAGAGTCTGAATGGTGGAGATGTCGGCCTGGCTCAGCCCATCGTGGATTACGATGTGGACTGTAATCCAGAGGGATGGACAGAGATTGGGGGTTAAGGGATTGAGTTGGCTCTGGGCTTTGGCCAGGTGGGTTCACCACAGGCAGCCATGGTCTCTTTATTTACAATGCTAGTCATGTTTTAGCCTGTGTTTTTCCTGGGCCTCAGTCTGATATTGAAAGGTAATAATCCCAAATAGTTAACAACCTAATGACATCCATTTGATATGTTCTTACTATGTTTGTTTGGAACGTGTAGATTGAATAAGGGTTGTACAATTTTGATTTATAGGTATCTGTTGAGTATTTTATTGATTAAAGGCTTGGTCTATAAAATGTCTGAAATAAGTCACACAGTCCCAGGACAGAGTCCCAGTGACCAAGGAGACGACTTCAAATTGCTTACTTTGACCGACCAGCAGTCCAAATTCCACAAAGACAACACATTCTCTATCATTGAGGACCAATGAGTAGTCAGAACCATTAAGTGTTTTGAACGGTTGGTTAAACATTTTATAATCCATTAATCATCATAGTATTTAGATCGTTCTGTCATGAGTATCAATCCAAGTCACTTAAAACACACAGAACCCGTATTGGAAATGCTACAGGTCCCTCAAAATTAACGGGGGAAATTATTTGCTGAAGCTTGTTTTGTTCAATAAATCTAAGTAGGCCAATCCTATTTATCTTGAACATTTCAGGATTTCATATGCTTTAAACACAAAAGAATTACATTCAAATATAACACGTTTGCACTAACTGCCTGGCCCCTTTAAATTCAGATAAAATCCTCAGTTTTGACTCTGCCTAATCATCCTTATCGGTGCCCCCCAGTCCAGCACCACCTCGATGTAAAAAAAGAAAAGAAGCAAGGCCTCACTGAACACATGGAGGCGCCTCCCCCTCCCTCCCTCCCTCCACCCTCTCCCTCCCTCCCTCCCTCCACCCTCTCCCTGGTTGCAAAGGGGATTACGGATGGACGCAGAGACTGCAGCCCGTTACTGGGTCCTCCTGCCGGCGTAGGGAGCAGCGGTCCGTCCGGTACCTTGCTGCGGGATGCAGGGGCGAAATCCACTATGAAAAACTAAACCATCCGACCGCGGGACGGTGGAAGATGGGTGCATTTCTACCCGGAGGCGAAGCGAAGGAAACAAGACAGAAGAGCGAACATACAGCCCTGTAGCGTCTGGCTTGCTTAGCTGCAAACACACACACACACGGAACACCGAATCGAAACAATAGTGAGCGACAACGTGCGTGTGTGTGTGTTTTGTGGATATTGGCTTCATCGCAAATGCCTCATGACATGTTCGAGTAAGTGACATAAACAGCGCTTGAGCGGTGATTAGCATATTATGCTATCCATTGATCTGTATGTGCTCCTCATACACCGTCCATCATGGTCCGATTTCGGTGTGGTCAACTGAGTCACAGCTCTGCAAATCCCACTGATAACATGGGTGGGACAGGCATGGTTTATGTAAAAGCACAGGTGTGCAGCTCTAGTCTGATATTAGCTGTGTAAACTTGTTGCTAGCGGTGTGTTTACGTTATTGCTGTCGGTGCACTCAACTACCTCCACCCTGTTTCCCTGACCATAGCACCCCTGCTAGTGCTTCTTAATGGAAACGAGTGTTATCATTCATTCATGTCTGACTCTTTAGTGTTGAGTTTACTGGACTGGGTTTGTTTTGGGTAGCAGAACCAGTATGCTAGCTTTCATTGATGTCAAGTAACTAAGTAGATTTACTTCAGTACAATTTTGAGGGACATGTACTTTACTTAAGTATTTCAATTGTATGCTTCTTTCTACTCTACTTCAATTCAGAAGTATATTGTGTACTTTACCTGTTCTACATGTATTGAGTTACTTTGCAGATTTGGATTAATGTTGTAAAATATATTCAACACTTAAATAGGACTTTAGTTACACCTGTACGTTCACAAGCTACCCTGCAGTAAACAAAGTAATTACATCTAGCTGCACCTTTACCAGCTTTGATAACACTATACATACATATTTATAATCAAAAAATACAATATACATTCTGAAATGGGCCAATCTGACCAAGGAGTACCTTTTTGCTTTCGGCGATTTAAGTATATTTTGATGCTAATACTTTGGTACTTTTACTTGAGACACATTTTGATTGCAGGACTTGTACTTGTATCAGATTATTCCTACACTCTGGTACTTCTACCTTTATTTAAGTACAAGATCTGAGTACTTTTTTGCACCTCTACTAGCTTTCTATTAGCTTATGTGCACTATCGCTTTGCTTGACAAATGTACAGAGGAGAGGTCAATATTACTACTCTAAAGGCTAACTAGAGGTTTGTCGACTCTCCTGAAAGTGCTGCCTGTTAGCCCTTTTACGTTTGTGCTGCTCAGGGATTTAGCCCTGGTGTGTAAACACATGCTGACACAGATTCACACCACTTGCACGCACAGCATTAAAGAACCCATTACTCTCATGTGCGTTTACCTCAAGAAAGCCTAATGCTGCTTGCCATTATGCCGATCGAATTACCAATGCTGCAATAAATAATGTATTGTCAGAGGTGGAGGAAGTACTCAGATCCTGTATTAGAACTATCAGATTGTAGGAATACTCTGTTACAAATAAAAGTACATTTATAAAAGTATTAGCACCAAAATATAATATCATATGTTCTGATTATAAATATTGATGCATTATTGTTATTAAAGCTGTTAAAGGTACAGCTAGTTTTAATTACGCTGCAGGGTAGCTAGTGAATGTTACTCCGCGTGTAACTTAAGTCTTATTTGAAGTGTTTATTATAATTCACATCCTTATTCCAAATATGCTAAAGGTCTTAAATGAATGTAGTGGAATAAAAGTAAAACAAATGTTTCCTACATTTGTAAGTTGAAATAGTATGTTACGTATGTTATGCTCTTTAAAAGGCCACTTTTCTTTCTGACATGCACATTATACAGCTCTTAAAACATTGTACTAACTGCAGTTTATTTACCTGTTTATCATCAATAATTGCTTTTAGTTATTAACACTGGATACGGACAACACAATCAGACCAACTCAACTGCCACACACTACAAAAAGAGTAAACGATGTTCAGTAAATGTTTTGAAATATAGGAGTTTTCTTAAACAATAGATTTTATTGTTATAGATATGGTGAAAACATGACCGTTTGTGTCAAAGCAGTGGTTCACAAAGAGATTGTTCGAGGTAGTTTGGTGTGTGTGGCAGTCCGGCTGAAAGGGAGAAGAATACAAAAGAAGGTTTTGGTTTAGCTTCGTAAATGAAACTAGCAATTGTAGTCTAAAAAGAGCCATTGCAGCATACTGTTGAATAAGCGAGCAGACGTGTGCATACTCAGTGTTTCCCCTATATACAAATAGTGGCGGCGCAGCACCGCTGCTGAAATATGAGCGCCGCTGCTAGGGGGCGCCAGCCAGGTATCAAAAAAAAAAAACTTTTTTTTTTCTTTACTTTTTTTTTCTTCTAAACGGTGAACCCTTTTTCATTTTTGATTGTTTGTTATGTGGATTTGTAGTATTTGTATTACTGGCATAGGCGAAACAGGCGGTCGCCTAGGGCGCCAGATCTGGGGGGCGCTGCGCTGGTAGCTCTGGGAGGGAAAAACATTTTTGACCGTTGGTGCTCATCCAAATGTTCGGCCTTGATGTAACAACATTCATAAATTAAGTAAATGGTAACAACCCTTTTCACACGGTTCACGTTAATTTGGCGTTGTACGGTGGGCGCTGTAAGTGATGAAAGTGGGGGAGCTGTTGGGGCTTA